AGGACAAACAGCTCACAAGGAGAAAGACAGACAAAGAACTTTCACTCCAAGAAGAAATCATGCCCGAGAGGACCTACTCACCCTCCACCCAAGTCCCTTCTCCAGTGTCTCTACCCCACTGGGGAAGACAGGAGTGCGACTGGAAGAGTGAAGAAATCACTCGTGTAAACTAGAAAACTCGTCGGTATTGTAAAGGATTTTGAGATGTGTGAAGGTCAGATGTTATGACGTCAGAATCTCCCAATGTGGACGCGGAGCGCATTCACAGGGTAGAGCGCATGCAGCTGGGGGTGGGGGGCTTTGTTCCTCCAATCTCCTTTCTCTCTCTCCATATCTCATTGGCAACACCAGCACTGTGGAGAGCGGGAAGCCCCCACATCCAGCCCTCCACAGGATACCTAGTAACCCAATCTTCCAAATAGGCAGAGCGGAGGAAGCAGGGAGAAGGCACTGTCCACATTAAACAGAGATCCTTCGAATTCATTAACTTCGCACAATGTTAGCCATTTTTTGAAAAATCTTTTACTTATTTGTGCATGTGTGTGCACGTGCGTGTGCACACGTATGCATGTATGTGTGTGTGTGTGTGTGTGAGAGAGGTGTGTGTAGAGTATGAGTGCCACACTATGCGGAGGTCAGAGGACAACTTCGTGGAGATGGACTGCCGGGCTTTCCTGGCAAGGGCCTTCACCCTGGGTCATCTTTAGGGCCATAAAAAAGTTGTTAAGGCTGAATTTTGTTTTTTTGTTTTGTCTTTTTGAGACAGAGTCTCTCTGTTACACATAGCTCTGGCTGTCCTGGAACTGGCCTCGAACTCACAGAGATCCACCTGCTTCAGCCTGCTGGGATTAAAGGTGTATGCCATCATGCCTGGCTTTTTTAAAAGGTAGCTTTTGATATACACGCAAACAAGAACATAAAACTTTGCCAAAATGAAGTTTTTAAGAGTACAAGAAAGCCAGTTAATTCTCAGCCTTCTAAAGACACACGTGAGTTAGCTCTGCCTGCTTTTCCATGGGTGAATTTCCAGGCGACTAAAGCTGGACTTTACAGGCTACATTACAGTGTGGACTGAACAAGGCCAGGGATTGCTAGTTGGCCGGGCGACACACTACCTATCAAATGGCACACTCACAACCACAGGAGAAGACCATCCACTGCCTCTCAAGACTGCAGTGCTACACCCGAATGTGATGGGGACTTTAAGATCTTGTTTCCAGGTGGAAAAGGAAAACAAACAAACAAACAAACAAAAGAAACCACAGGAACAAAGCTCTCCAGCCTGTGGGGGCTTAAAGGGCCTTGCACAGTAAATCAACCCAGGGCTGTCCTGTTTTCCCCACAGCCAGACTGAAATAATACAACCCCAGCAGAGGTGTGAATTACCCCCATTCATCTTAATGGAGTGTTAACTTCAAAGACTTGTTTTAACCATTTAAATGCTAAGCTCATGAGTAAACATTGTTAAGAAAAAAAAGTACAACTTAAACATTCACTCCGAACATATGAAAGTAATTTACGGTCTTGGCATTTTGTCTTTTAATTTAGCAAATAACTCTCCAAATGTTAGAAAAGTGTGTATTTTGTGCGTTTCTTAGTTTTATTTTAAATAGTTATTACCTAATAAATTATGACCATTAAGCCCATAAGGAGAAGGTCCAGATTTCCCAGAAAAAAAAAATGCTTGGGGGTACTTGCATAAGGTTACGAAGGGGCATGGCTGTTGCTAGCCTTCTCATCAGCTTCCGCCAAAGTCACAGAAAATGTGACCTCAAACCGTCAACCAGGCAAGACAGAATGTTAAACTGACCACCTCCACCGACTATTTTTCTTGATAGGAACTCAATTTTGTGCAGTGTTACAAAGGATATTTGTCTCTTGCCAAACCTCCCAGGGCACCGGCTCAGGAACAGGTGATAAACGTATTAATTGATGCCCAGCTGTCACCACACTTAACATTTGCCCCCAGGGGCGTCCTTGCATCTGTTGTAGATTTAGGGTTATTTTGGTATTACCAGAGTTAAGATTTATTTTAGCAGCTGAACACCTATGAGCATTATTTCATACACAGAAAAACAGGGTACGAGCAGCGCAGTGGACCTGAAGGCCGCGCGAGAGGCCATGCTTGCCTGTGCTAGGGGCCTGCTCAGTGCCTGGCTTTGGAATGGCACAGCTGGCGTGGAACTGTGGGAAAGCACTAACCCCTGCTTCCAGGGCCAGCTCCTGGGGGGGTGAAGGCAAAAGAGACTCAGAAGGTCAAAGTTACGCAAGATAGAAAATGGAAAATCCAAGATTTCCTTCCATGCCCTTGGGTAAAAACTATTTCATTTTATTGCTCCAGATAGGGATCAGGCAGGGAACCAATCTCCTAGTAAGAAAGCCTGGCTGGTCTGCATCTAATTCATCAAAGGTCATTTAATCCTCTACTCATGAAAATGGTGGTGGCCCATTTGGGAGGCAGAGGCAGGTGGATCTCTAAGAGTTACACTGAGAAACCCTGTGGGGAGGGAGGGAGGAAGGGAGGAAAGGAGGGAAAGAGAGAGAAGAGAAGAGGTGAGGTGAGGGGAGGGGAGGGGAGGGGAGGGGAGGTGAGGAGAGGAGAGGAGAGGAGAGGAGAGGAGAAGAGAAGAGAAGAGAAGAGAAGAGAAGAGAAGAGAAGAGAAGAGAAGAGAAGAGAAGAGGATGGGTATTAACTCCCTTTCACGGAATTGAAGTAGACTCGGAGGTTAAGAGTTGCACGGCTTTCATTAAGATCTGAATCCAGCTCTTCCCAACCCAAAGCCTGGCCTTCCCATTACACTCATTGCTCTCAAGTTGCCAGCGTTCTCTTTGATCTTTTCAAAAGAGAAGCTCTGTTGCCAAACTTTCAGCCTCTTTTCTTGAGTGGGAGGCAAGAGGACACCTGCAAAAGTGTGGATTTCCATATATGCAAATGAGCGCTTTGCATCAAAGTCTCTACTTTACAAGTCAACTGCGGCAGGGCAGCGGTTAACTTAGGCATCCTGGCTTTGTCAGGCAGCCAGACATGGGACCCTTTACACAGGTTCCTCAGGGCAGAGGAGACCCAGAGTCAAGCTTCCAGCTGGGAAACATCTCAGTGGTCAAAAGCAATGTTTTACAATTTCTAGTCAACATGAGACAGATTGTTACTACGGGTATGTTTTCTAAGAATAAGGTTATATATTGTAGTGACAAACTGAGGTTTGGAGAACTTTCAAACTCACATAAGCAACAGGAAAATCTCAGGCAAGGCTAGGAGGCAGGGCCACACCCATAGAGAAATCTCAGTTTCTGACTGACACTAGTAGTATTAACACACACACTAACAATCAAATTTATATATAAATGTAATACACCGACTTCTTAAAAAACAGAAATTGATTCTTTATAAACTGTGGGAGACAGACCAACTCAAGACTTTCTTAGAGGCCCTGCTGAGAGGACAAAGAGAACTTTAGAACTTTAGTTCTGTGTTCTTGTCTAGGAGTGGACTTGGCAGGGGGTCTAGAGCTGAAGCCTATGTCTCAAGAATCAAGGCTACAGTTTTGGGGACCTGACTCTTCCCCCCTGGGCCGTGGTTATCAGTCCTGAGGCAGCTGTGTCTGAGGTAGCCCATGTTCTCTTTGGTAATATGTCTGACTTAGCTCTCTGCTGACCTTGCCCCTCTAGCTCCAAGGCACACAGTGTATATGACGCTGAATTTAATAAACTAGCTTGGGTTGGCACAAGCCATTAGTTTAGGGAAGACCTTTTGGTTCCTGCTATTGCTTTTGTCTTGTTTACTTCTTGTCTTCTTTATTTCTCATCTATGGTCCTTACTATCAACACCTCGCTGTTTGGAGCCCTTATTTCTGCTGATTCAGGTCTCTGTCTGTCTGTCATCTATCGATATATAGTAATTTTTTATTTTATGTGTATGAGTATTTTGTATGTATGTATGTCTATGTGCCATGTGTGTGCTTCATGCATGCAGAGGCCAGAAGATGGTGTTGGATCCTCTGGAACAGTTGTTACAGATGGTTGTCAACTGCCATGTGAGTGCTGGGAATTGAACCTGAGTTCTCTGGAAGAGCAATGAGTGCTCTTAGCCACTGAGTAATCTTTCCAGCCCCTGATTATATATTGGTTTTTAGATACAGGGTTTCTCTGTGTAATTACCCCAACTGTCCTAGAGCTAGTTCTGCAGATCAGGCTGGCCTTGAACTCACAGAGATCCACCTGCTTCTGCCTCTCAAGTACTGGAATTAAAGACGTGCGCCACCACCATCCGGCCTGATTCTTTATATTTAAAAAAATTTGTTCTGCGAAAGCTTGTTAGCAAAATGGTGCACGCCTTAAATCCCAGCACTCGGGAGGTAGAGGCAGGTGAATCTCTGTGAGTTCAAGGCCAACCTGGTTTATAGAGCGAGTTCCAGGACAGCCAAGGCTACACAAAGAAACCCTGTCTCAAAAAACCAAAAATAAAATGGAAAGACAAGGCCCAGACTGAGAATTTTTTGCAACCTACCTATTTCATAAAAGATAAGCATCCAACATGCATGTGTATAACTAAACAAAGAACACACAACCCAATTTATTTTTGGTTGTGAACCTAGCCTAAAGGCTGAGCCATCTCTCCAGCCCCACACAACCCAATTCAAAACTGGGCAAAAGAATTAGCCTCTCATCTAAGAAAATCTGCAGTGGTTGGTCACAGAAGCATGTGTGGTGCCCATTTCATTCCATTAGAATCGCAAAGCAGAGCTGCCACCACATCCCAGTCAAGTGGCAGGAACTCAGCACACCGCACTCCCAACACCAAAAGCTGGTGACGATGCGGGATTACAGAACGGTCACTCACTGCTAGCAATAATACAAAATGTTACAACGGTTTTAGAAGAGTCTGGCAGTTTCTATTAAGACTAAACACACGCTTATGATGCAGCATGTGCTTTTTGGTATTTAACGCACACACATACACACTCCAGCTGACAACATGACCATGTAAAACCCTGCACACAAACAGTTTTAGCACCTTTATTGATTGTTGGCAAAACCTGGAAGCAGTAGGAAGGTCTTCCAAGGGTGAGTGGATCAACAAACTTGATTCATCCCTATGATGGGATATTATTCAGAATGAAGAGGAAACGAGCTATTAAATCAAGGAAGTCAGTCTCAACATGACACGCGGTCCTACATGATCCCAATCATGGCCTTCTAGTCAAAAGATCAGTGGTGGCCAAGAGCAAACCCTCACCGACCTTTAGCACCCCTGGGCATATATAACGTGTGCTCTCCTGACACCAGGCGTCCTTATCAGGGAAAGCTGGAGACTGGGGTAGGGAGTCACATGGAATCCCTTATTTTGTTTACTCAATATGCCTGGAAACATAAAACTATTTTAAAAAAATAAAGGCTACTTATTTTTTTAAAGTCACAAATGGCAGGAATGCTCCAGGCTGGTGGCATACACCTTTAACGCCAGCACTCGTGAAGCAGCAGCAGGCGGACAGCTGTGAGTTCAAGGCCAGCCTGGTCAAAGCTTTGAGATCCTGTCTCAAAAATGAAACAAAACAAAACTGCCACACAAAAGAATGACTCAATGTATGTAAGAACATTGTGAGTTTTTCTAATTTTGGGTTTAAAAAAGTGACTAAATGCCAACTTTCTGCCCCATACTGCGGCTCTGTCCTGCTTTGCTGGTAATAATTTCCCTGAGTGTAATTTTCATATCCAATGCCTTCCACAATGACTCCTTCTTGCTTATAGAGGTAAATTATTCTTTATGATAGAAAATTATGTTTCTCATTGTTGACCCAGTCAAAAATGATGAGCGCTAAACTGAAGCTCCCGACCAAGGTGCCAGTGACGAGCAGGAGCAGTGCCTGTGGAGACAAAGGAGACAGTGAGGGCGAGCCTCTACTCCTCTCGGAGGTGTAGCTCAGGCTAGCCCCAAACACTCGGCACTCCTCCTGCCTCAGCCTCCTAAGAGCTGGGATTACAGGCATGAGCATCACACCTGACTCCAAAATGTCCTTTATGCACTAAGATACATGCTGACATTTTAGACATAGATGCAGTGATAAAAAAGATGACAAACTATTTCTTAATATGGAGGCCTTAAAGGAGACAGTTGAGAACAACCTACCCCAAGTTTCTTCCGTGAGAGAAAATCCTCTCTGCTGAGTTTCAGATAAAACAGCCCTGGGAACACAAAGATCAAGCATGTCGATGTGCTGGCACCTACGAGGTAGACAGGAGAAAACCAAGACGCCGTTGGATTCAGCTGTGAGGGCAACGATTTTATTACCCCTTCTATTTCTGCCATGCTAGAAAGCAAACCGAAGACCTCTGCCCGTGTGCGCTACCACTGAGACACTCTCCCCTGTCCCTTTTAGTACATGATTTTTTTAATGGAAACTTACCAACTACACCAAATACATTCCTAATGTCAGGAACATAGATTGCAAGTAAAACAATGATAATGTTGAGCGCTAGTGTGGTCAGAGAATGCCGAATCCACGAAAACGGAAAACTTGAGAAAAGTATCATCATTAAAGCTTTTCTGGCCTATATAACAGGGGGGGAAAAAGACATTTAGGCAAAGGGAAGGATCAAAGGCATAGCATTTGCTTAGAGAAACACATGTATAGTAACCATAATATTTTTACCCCAGATCATTTATATTCCCCAGACACAGCATAAACTATCATTATGCAGTGTTTTTACACACATAAACCTTTCTGAGCAAGCTTCATAAGAATTATTTTTCTTAAATTCCACACAAAAGTTTCACAGGCAATTTTTTTTAGGTTCTGTAATTTAAAAAATTACAAGCAGTAACACTGTGTTATGAAATCACAAAGAACAATTTTCATTAAATTCAACAGGCAAACAAACTTCCAAGAGGAAAAAAATAAACCATGGTATGGAAAAGAAATACCAATTCTGTTTTATTTCTGTTATCTGCTCCACGGCATGGAAATACAAAGAACCGGTTTCCACATCTGCCACTGCTAGGGCAGGCCACCGGCAACCACAGCCCACAAGTTTATCCGGCCTTGGCTGGACCCCTGGCCCTGCAGTCTCATAGGAAGGGGCAAGAATTCTGGAGGTCCCGGTTTTTAGAAACTCACATGAGTCCAAGACACCCGAACCGAAGCATTTCTACCCATTGCCGTTGGTTTCATCTCTATGGAAATTGTTAGGATTCTCATGTGCAGCGACTGGATACAGAATGGCAATCTGTTCCACCCCTTACATTCTAGAGCAAGCACCAAGCCTAAGCATGAACTCCCTGTGGGAAGCGACCTGGACTAGACCAAGAGGGGCTTGTTTCTGCTGACTCAACTCTCTCTTCTTTGTACACATTCTTTTGAAAACAGAATACAGAAAGACAAGCCCCCTGACAAAAACCCTTTAGAACTATAGTCTCTAAATTGGAAACAAAACTGAAAGAGAGGTAAATCTAAACTAAATCTCAGAAAGCACAAATTAGCTTCGAGGTTCACTGTTATTTTTGTGCTTTCATGGGACCATATGCTAGTATGAGGTCTTGGATCAATTACTTGACAAATGAATAAGATACACAAGACTAGATGTGATTCAAAGGTTCTGGTCTGCAAAGAATTAGTGTTGCCATATTAGGGAGTCACGACACTAAGCAACAAAACCTTTAGGCATACTTACAGGGAAGTGGATTAGAGGGACTGTCAAAAGCACAGCAGACAGTATGCATAACTTCACAGCCATGACAACAACGTCATGTGGCAAGTATTTACTATAGCCTTGTAGCAATTCCGACTCCACTCTGTCTGTAAATAAATTAAAACAACAGCAGCAGCAGCAATCAGGGTCACATTGTAAACTATGCGGCACTCTATCAATAATAGCAAAATTATTTTCTGTTGGATTATTGGATCATACTAGGCTTAGATCCCATTCTGAAATTCATTTCTGGCCCTTTTCTCTCTGCTATGAAATACAAAGATACTTAATATTGTCTTGAGATGTACACTTCTTTCTAAAATGCATTACATTTATTGACTTATTTGTGTGTGCCTACCATCGCACGCATGTGGAGCTTGGAGGACAACTTGAAGGAATTGGTTCTCTCCTTTTACCCTGTGGGTCCTGGGAATCAGACTTAGGTCACTGGACTTGGTGATAAGAGCTTTTCTTTGCTGAGACATCCCACTAGCCCACGTCCACTCTTTTGTATTCTTTTAGAAAAATTTGAAACCAGGACACACAGAATCTCTAAAGTTAGGACAAAACAATAGTATTTAAAAGTATCTCCTTAAGCAGGTGTGGTGGTGCATAGCTTTTATCAAAGCAATGGGGAGGCAGAGGCAGATGGATCTTTGTGACTTTGAGGCTAGCCTGGTCTACCTAACAAGTTCCAAACTAGTGAGACCCAGTCATAAAAACAAGATAAAATAAAACATAAACCAAAGCAAAATTCCTTAGAACTCGGCCATAATTTTAACAAAGCGCTTGCATGGGCACGGCTGAAATTGGTCACCATGGCAATATGAGATGTGTAGGCACCATGGCAATATGAGATGTGTAGGCTCACAAGGGCCGGGCAGTTACCTGAAAATGGGGGGAGAAGGGCGGGGGAAGCAGAGCACCCCACATTCACATGCTTTCCCACTATACCAGCGTTTTCTCAAAGCCCACAGTGCTGACCACTCTTGGGGTAGTGTCTATAGTCTGTGTGGTGTTTTGTGCATATGATCAGCTGTGTCTGTTTCCGTCTTGCATGAGAAAAAATGTTACGTTAAGAAAATGGCTTGTTAGGTCAGGACAGAGAGCTGCTGACCCCGCCTTCTGCCTGGCAGTTTCCTTCCATTTACATGGTTTTCCTTGCCCAGGTCACCTGAGAAAGAAGAAGGGTGATCACGCCACACCTCAGGACCTATGGTCAAAGACCAGTTTGGACTTAGACTAGAATATGGGGCTGTTTCATTTGATAGAACAGGGTTTTAGAAATCTAAAAAATCAAATTTTAACCAATAGACAGATGACCCTCCTCCATCAAATGTGCCTCTGCTTTGCTAGGTCTTAAGAGAGACAAGGACCCCATAAAGACACAAAAGGAAGTGTATATACCACGTACAAATCCGAGTGACAGACGGAAGTTTTAACAAAGGGCTACGGTGATTCTACACTGAGATGACAGTGTACATTCAAACCCCACTACTCGCTAGCAGCTTCTCTGAGCCTTATTCCTGTGTCGTCAGATGACAATAATCCATGGACTCAAGCTGATGTGTGTGCTGACACTTAAAGCCACGGAAGAGACTTTCTAGAACCGAAGCCTGTGGTAGCAAAGGGAATGTGTGTGAGGAAGGGGCTGCTCCAGTCAGCACTACAGTGCAGGCATCATGACAGGACAAAGAGGGTGGAGAGAGGAGGAGCTGGAGAGGCCCTCGAGACTCAGCAAGACAGCTGGCACAGGGTCTGGACGGAATCAGACAAGCTAAAAGTACAATCACTTAGGGATTGGTTAATTTCAATGGTCAAGGCCTCTGACATGCCTATGGGAGTTATCTTGATGAATTCAGTTGAGGTGGGGACACTCAGTGGTGGATGGCACCATCCCAAGGTTCAGGGCCTTGGACTGTATAAAAAGGAGAGAGCAAGCAGGGCAAGGCCTCATTACTCCTGATTCTTCTGCCAGCTCCCGCCACTGTGCCCTCCCCGCCATGATGGACTGTAACCGTGAACTGGGAACCACGCATAAAAAAAAAAAAAAAAAACCAAAAAACAAAAAACCTTTCTCCCTCGGCTGCTTCACGCCTCAGGTATTTGGTTGCAGCAATAAGGAGTGAAACTAAGAGAGAAAGAGGAGTGTGTTGTGACCTGAATTACACACAAGTACAGAAGAAAAATACCAGAACACAAAAAACAGAAAGCCACTGCTATAACCTCTATATAATGGGGCTCTGAGCTAGTGTAGGTGGTCCTCATGGGCACAGGAGAGAAATGAGGTTGTCTACAGTGCCACAGACAGAAGTTACAGAATGAAGGATGGGACTAGGTACGAGAACTGGGAAGAACCAGCAAATCTGGAATCTATTTCCAAATCTGTGAGATACTTGGGAGTCTTTGGACAAATATGGCAAACTATTTTATCTCCATTTTCTGAATCATAAAATGAGCTATTAACACTTCTTGCTTAACAACCTCACAGACATTAAAACGGCCTGGTTACTTAATGTTTGGGCACCAGCCTAGTTCACCACAGGGACACTTTCCCTCCTTAATATCTGTGATTAGAACCAATATTATTAATGTAGGTTGATTCTTACAGATCCTTTTAATCTGACAGAAGTTTGATATTAACTAGGCTTTCAGAGTCCTGGATAAAGATTCCATTCAGTTCCAGAAGTATTAAGAACTACACTTATTAGAAATTCTACTTTCCAAGGGGAAAACCTTCTGAGCCAACCACCACTACACAACTACCCCACATTCTTAGCTGGGCCTTAATATATGTAAGGAGCAATTATTACACACTTATTTAAACTCAAAGAAAGCTTCACAAATTTCAGAAAGGACCTGATGGTGATTTTTGTAAGTCACTTGTACCACTGGTGTCATATCTGCTTAAGACACCGAGGAAGGACGACCGGGAGGAGAAGCACGTCCATTAGTGTGGAGAGCCAGGCCAGGCCGCAGGGAGGAGAAATATGAGCAGCAATGTGGCAGGTCACGATGACAGCCGTGGCCTCCAGAAAGTGTCTGATCACAGAGCCTCAGCCTCAGCCCCGCCAACACCAGGGGAAATGACCATCTCAGCCTTGGGCCCGTAGGCATCTAGGGGAATGATCACCAAAGGCTCTCCTCGGCCTACACCTGAAGGAGCTACTAATGGAGCCATGGCCCCCAATTACACCAACTGGAGGAAAAGGGACCCCCCCCCCCTGAAACACAGGTTCTATTTGTTCTAATTGGAGGAAGAGATGGGAAGACAACAGGGCAAGAATCCACTCAACAACATAAAGAGCAAACCAGCACCACCAGAAACCAGTGGTTCCACGATAGCAAGACCTCAACAACTCAATGCAGATGGAGCAGAAAACTACCTTAAAAACAACTTTATGAAGATGACTGAGGCCCTTAAAGAGGAAATAAAAAATTCCCTTAAAGAAATAGAGGGAAAGACAACTAAAAAATTAGAAGAAATCAATAAATCCCTTAAAGAACGAAGAAAAAGCAATCAAACAGGTAAAAGAAATGGTCAAGACTGGAAAACTGAAATAGAGGCAATTAAAAAAACAAAACAAAACAAACCACAAACTGAGGGAAATCTGGAAATAGATGAGCAAGGAAGTCAGGACCACAAGGGGTGTGTCCACCCACGGAGATGGTGGGACTGATCTAATGGGAGCTCACCAAGGCCAGCAGGACTGGGACTGAACAAGCAAGTGATCAAACCAGACTCTCTGAATGTGGCTGACAATGAGGGCAGACTGAGAAGCCAATGATAATGACACCGGGTTTTGATTCTACTGCATGTATTGGCTTTTTGGGAGCCTAGTCTGTTTGGATACACACCTTCCTAGACCTGGATGGAGGGGGGAAGGCCTTGGACTTCCCACAGGGCAGGGCACCCTGACTTCTCTTAGGACTGGAGTGGGGGGGGGGAAGAGGAGTAGGAGGAGTGGGAGGGAAGTGGGAGGATGGGAGGAGGTGGAAATTTTTAATAAATAAATAAAAAAAAGAAAATCTGGGTAAATGACCAGGGACTAAAAATGCAAGCATAAACAACCAAAGATAGAAGTCCAGTTCAAAGGCACAGAAAATATACTCAACAAAATCATATAAGAAAAGTTTTCCAACCTAAAGAAGGACATGCCTATGAAAATACAAGAAGGTTACAAAACATGAACTGGACCAAAAAGAAAGACCCCTCACCACATAATAATCAGAACACTAGACATACAGAATAAAGAAAGACTATTAAGAGCTTCAAAGAAAAAAGGCCAAGTAACATATAAATCAGACCTATCAGAATTACACCTGACTTCTCAAAAGAAACAATGAAAACCAGAAGGTCCTGGTTAGGAGTTACACAGACACTAAGAGACCACGGATGCCAGTCCAGACTACTATATCCAGCAAAGATTTCAATCAACATTGAGAAAACAAGATATTCCATGACAAAACAAGGTTTAATCAATATGTATCCACAAATGCAGCCCTACAGAATGTACTAGAAGAAAAACTCCAATCCTACACCCACAAAAACACAGGTAATAGATAATCCCACACCAACAAATGCCAAAGAGAAACATACACCCATACCACCACCAAAATAACAAAAACAAAAATAACAGGAACTAGCAATTACAGGTCATTAATATCTCTTAATATCAATGGACTCCATTTGCATATAAAGACACAGTCTAACAGATTAGATATGAAAACAAAATCCATCCTTCTGCTGCATACAAGAAACACACATAAACTACAAAGACATTACCTCTTAGTAAAGAGTTGGGAAAAGATTTTCCAATCCAATGGACCTAAGAAACAAGCTGGTGTAGCTACCCTAATATCTAACAAAATAGACTTAAAACTAAAATTAGTCAAAAGAGATGAAGAAGCTCATTTCATATTCATCACAGAAGAAATCCATCAAGATGAAGTCTCAATTCTAAACATTTATGGCCCAGATACCATACCAAATGGCACCCTCATTTGCAAAAGAGACATTTACTAAAGCTTAAATCACATATTGAGTATCACACACTAATAGTGGGAGACTTCAATACCCCACTCTCACCACTTGACAGATGTGCCAGACAGAAACAATGGAGAAATAAAGGATCTAACAGATGTTATGACTCAAATGGGCTTAACAGACATCTATAGAACATTTCACCCAAACACAAAAGAATATATCTTCTCCTCTTTAATAACCAATGAAAGCAACACAAATACAGAAGGACCTCCTACACCAGAGAAGGACTATTGCGTGCCAAATACCATAGCAGGATTTATAGAGAACTCACTTCTGCCTTGCTGCAACCCTATGCAGTTATGCATGTATTATAGATTAGGAGTTGAAGATGCTTCAAGGTAGAGGCTCCCCTCAAGGTCACAGAGCTAGTTAGGGAATGGCAGTTAGTTACACAACCCAGATTTGTTGGATCCCCAAACCAGTATTCTCCTCAATGGGCCTGGGAAATGTTGTGGTATAAGAAGACATGGAGCTTGGGGAAACTGGGAGGTAAGCATTAATAAAGGCCCACAGCTGACGACCACAGGCGTCTCAGACTTGAAAGGTGCACAAAGCCGTCAAGCAGGTCATCAGCAGCTAAGCATCCCAAGAAGGAATAGCTGCTCACTTGCAGTTACTATAAAAACATTTATAAGCTGAAGAATACATTCAAAATTGGGTGAGTTGAGTGGCCATGTGTCGTGATGTGATTGTTCACAAATGTTGCTCATATTTTCTTTCTTGTTCTAGGCTTTGTTTTTGTTCTCAACATTCTTGTTGAAAGAGGAAAAAAAACCCCAACAAACTATGCAGGAAACACTTCCAAAATAAATAAAAGAGAATTTTCCTTATGCTTTATAATTTTACAAGTGCCTAAGAAACTTACAGAGAAAGACCCTGGCGCAGCAGAGGCAGTAATGCATTTCAGCACATGCTGTAGAAATGAAGTCGGAAGGCAGAGATGTCTGGCAGCTGAGTCCACTGTACTGTCTCGTGCTTTCTGGAGTTGGCCCTTTGTAGTTATTGAGATGGTTTACTCTCCTAACCTCTAAGTTTATCATCTAGATTCGAACATACTGAATATGTGATCCCCCTTCTACTTTTTCGAGACAGGGTCTCGACAGACTCCGGCTGTCCTGGTACTCATTATGTGGACCAGGCTGGCCTCTAACTCCCAGAGATCCACCTGCCTCTATCTCCTAAGTGCTGTGCTTAAAAGGTGTGCATCACCATGCCTGGTTCTAAACATGCAATTTTAAAAGACCCAGATCATTATTTTATAGAGATACCAATATGCTTGAAATTTGACATAAAAGTCTAAGAAAAATTTTAGGAGTTAGAGCCATCAAGACCGTGTAGTACTCTTGCAGATAACATGAGTTTGACATTAAAGTTGGGTGGCTCACAGATGCCCACTTCCAGGTACCTGGCGCCCTTTTCTGGCCCCCACAGGTACTCCACTCACATGCACAAACTCACATGCAGACACGCACATACATACCATCATAATTGAAAATCAAAACCAAAATCTGAAAAGAGGGAACTTTCCCATGAATTCATTATTCTTAAGCCTGACTCACCTCTGTCAGAGAGAGGAGGTGACAAGGTCACCACAGTGCTGACACGTGGCCTGACAGATGAACTTACCAGGGAAAGGTGGGAAGACAGCTACAGGCATGAGGTCGCCTGTGCTTCCTTCGTCACCTAGAGTTAAGAATATACTCACCATAAAAAGTGAGGTATCCAAAGAGTGCAGACACATAGTAGAGCAGGAAGCTTAAAGCAATTGCTGTATTGGTCACATTCTGCATTCTCTTCTTTGAGGGGCTGAAACACAAAAGCGGTAGACATTGATAAAGCCAGGGATCTGAATCCTGTCTAAAGGAACAAGTATCTCCCAGGCCAGTTGGGACTCTTCGGACAACCATGAGTTCATCAAAGACTACACATCAGAATCATAAGTGGACACTCAGGCAGTGACGCAAAGATGGCATCACTGGTATCAATCTCAGTGAGGGCAGAATTAGCTCTTGGCCGCCTTGTCTGCTTCTTAACCAATGCTTAGAATCACGAAAATAGAGGAGGTTTCCAATCCGCAAACCCCATACGTAATGCACACTCCCAGCGTTGCACAGTACCTTCGAAGCTCACAGTAAATGGGCAATATTGAGGTATGGCAGAGAAACGAAAAAGCCATGGTTGGTACGGCGTAAATACTCTGAAAACAATTTTAGAAGACAAAATTATTAGAAGACAAAAGCTACTCCATGTTGCTACTTGGTTATTATTTTTTTTTGTTTAATTACATTTTTTAAAATTCTGTGTATGTGTGCGCCCACACACCCACGCCGCTAAGCACTTGTAGAGGTCAGAGGAAAACTTTGGGAGCAAGCACTCTCCTCCTACCAACTTTGGGAGCAAGCACTCTCCTTCTACCATGAGTGCAGGGTCAGGTCATCGGGCCTGGTGGCCCAACAATACAACTGAGCCACCTTGCCAGCCCCGAAATAAAGTTCTCTTAAAAAAAAAACAACTTGGTCGAATTTATTTCATCTTTTATGAATGATCTCTTTATAAGACTTTTGAGGGGGTGGGGGAGTCACTAGCAAACACTGGAACTTACAGGTCGGTGGCTTGATTATTCTGACCTGAGCAGTTTCTGGCTGGTCCCTAATACCATGTTGCTTAATTACAACCACCACATTCTACATTATTTGGATAAGATAAAAATAATTCAGATAAGATATAAGTAGCTACGTTTAAAGACATTTTATTATAATTATTATTATAGTCATTATTAAGGTATGTACAATTTAAATACACCTCATTACCCCAAGCAGCAATAACTCCAATGCTTTTGAATCTGCTTTTACTTATTCAGTGCAAGCAAGTATTAAAAATAGAAACCACATCTTGTACTGCCAGAATCCTTCACCAAGATCTTTTTTAATGAATACAAAGACCATTAATTCTAGACCTGAAAAACTCCATGGGATCCCATGCAATACATAAGCTTATAGTTTCTTTAAAAATTATTATTAGAATATTTAACAAGAGCCAGAGAAAACTAGCAAGCCTAAGTAACCCTCTAAATTAAAGTACTCTCTTTAACAAATGGATGGCAATGATTTCTCTTTTCTGGTCTAAAAATATTTCCCCTTAGCCGGCTTTAAGCTCTTCACCAAAAGGACTTCCAGATGAGGAACTTCGTTGGGATACAGTACCTGGGAAGTCGTGTTCCCTGAAGCTGCCTTAGGGGAATGAGAGTTTAAGTCACACATTCTCTGTTTCAGATACTGCTCCGTTTCCCAGCTTGTCAATTACCCTACCTAGATCTTTAGGCCTGTGGAGGGCTTCGCCATGAGAAAGATGCGGTGACCTCCCTTGTGAGGCTGGAGAGACATTTCTTAGTTACAAACTGGAGCTGCATCGGAAAGTTCTGCAGGGAGGACTAACCACATTAGCATTCTATTCTAAAAAGGCTGGGCAGTGAGTAGGAAAGGCTAGCTCCTGGGGCCTACAAAACAACAAAGCAGGGACCACGCAGACGGTGATTCCTGTTTCTCTGCTCATGCTCAGAGAATCTTCCAGGCAATTCCAGGATCCTACAGTGCTCTCAGAGCGAGCATGGGACTTGGTCTGTTGGTCTCTGCTCTGAGCATCATAAATCTCCCCTCGGAATGCTGTTCAGGAGTATTGGCAGTACTCTACTGCTGGTCCAACGATGGGGCTGTTTAGCTAAAGACCAAAGTCCTGCTCACAGGGGAGAAGTTTTTGATGTAATTGGCGATTTAGCTTTACAAGTCCAGAGCGCAACAGGAAAGCCGTACCCACAGAGGACCGTGCTGGCCAGACCAGACATTTGGTAAATCTGTTCTTTTAGGCAAAGTCCCATTTAAAACAGGCTCCATTTAAAGGCACGCCAAAAGAAAGAAAAGAAAAAGGTGGCTGCTTCATAATGGGCCACCCTGTGTTAAATAATATTATTCTTCTGGTAGGCAATCCTATACTTAGCACTTTCATGAAAATCAATTAGTTACAGGTATAAAGACCTGAGAGACCCTGTTACACAAATCTCTTAAAACTTGAAATGGGAAAAATCAACCCAAAGTATCTGTTAATAAGTTACACACCTCTTTGGAGAAATGAAAGAGCTTTGGTTTACAGTCATCTGTAGCATTGGAAATCTGTTTAAGAGTATGGAGGGGAAAAGAGAAACCAATAGCTATTAAAGTCAGAATACAGCAACAAATATGACGAATTTATTACCACTACACTTTCAGATCAGATCACTTCAAAGCACAGTTCTAAAACGCAATGCACCCATAACTTTTTCATTAATTAGAAAAAATAATCATTGATCTCCCATTTCTTTTTTAGTTGAAAAATTAAAAATAAAAGAGCCTAAAAACTATCACCTGGAACACTCCATTGATGCAACTTAGGGCCACAGGACAAGGGATGGACCACTTTTTAATCACTATCTGGAAAAAGAAATACAATCACACTCAGATAATTTGTAGTAAAATTCATCTCAAGCAGATCTCAACCAGGACAACACTTAAATGATGCTGAACAAGAGGCTAACAGATGAATCCCTGCTGCTCTGGTCTCCCCAGAGAGAATGGGGTCACCTTGTAACATGGTCACTGGGTGGAGAGGGAGGGCATGGGCACCTTACTTCTGATGGAGAGGAGGCAGGAGGGATCTGGCTCATGAAAGACTGAGTGAGCTCTTGTGTAGATTTCCCAAAACCCCAACAGTACCATGGTTTTTTTTTTTTTTTTTTTGCTTGCTTGTTTGTTTTTTAAAGGGCATCTCAAAAGGAAGCACGTTTTCAATGACAACTGCACAGAATACTATTATTTGTGTCAGAAGCAGACAGGCCTAGCATACGAGCAGAGGAGCAGGGACTTCACTGCTGAGTGTGACCTGATGCACACCTACTTCACCCCTGGACGTTTTCAGGTTTGTGCTACTTTGGTCAATGTGGCGAGAGCTGGCTTAGAATATGAATGCACATCTAAAAAAATGACAAAGAAACCCAGAGGGATGGTGTTTCCCAGAAAACGTCGATGAAAGGCTCAGGACTTGAGTCTTAATTGTGGCCGTCCTGCTCCTAGAGCCACGGTGGTGGCTGTGTCAACACTGCCATTGCCCCGGTTGCAGGCACATAATTACTCTGTAAATATTTGCTTCGGGCTAAATCCCAGCATACAAAGGGGCAGAGAGAAGAAAGGAAGTATTTGTCTTTGCAGGAGACCAGTAAGTAAATACCATTCCTATTTGGAACTTATCTAGTTTGGGATTTTAACAAATTCAATCAAAATTTTATACAGTGATAAATCTAAAGAAAACACACACTTTTAGGATTAAGTTAAAGAGTGAACCTGAGTCACTTTTAATTTAAAATCTCACCCAAAACGGGGTGGGTGGCTAAGGACCAACTGGGCATTTCTAGGTTACGTTTGCAACATAAAACCAGGTTTAACCATAAACAGAAAAGAACAAAACCAGAACCAAGAGCTCATTATCTTTGTTTTTTCTTTTTCTGAAAAGTTTAAGTGATGGAGTGGGGGTGAGAGGGATAGGAGCTGGTCTCTCTGGTGCCCTGCCCTGCCCATGTCTCCCCAAAGGCAGAGTCCTCCACTGGGGCCTCTCAGCACTGCTGAGCGCAGACCTTGAGGACCACGGAGCATCATTCCCTCCCTTTTTCCTTGGTCATCTGCTGCTGCAGAAGCCTTCAAGTCAAAATTCTTGCAAAAATTCTCCAAGATAAAATATAGCCTATTTCATTTATTAAAGAGAATTATTATCAACTCAATTTTACACTAACACAAATTCCGTTATTACAGCTAATTTCTGTGCAAAGGGCTGTCCTGGTTTCAAATCTGCATGGTGGGATGGGGTGGTCAGAGCTACAGAGATTGGGAGAGACCCACCAACAAGAGAAGAGAGTTCCAGGGTAAGAAGGTAATTCTGGGGGATGGGGACACACACACACACACATGACCTGAGGCACTAGAAATACTGCATTCGCACAAAAGCCCCTTCCCCCTCCTTCCCCAGCAAGCCCCTTTAATTCTTTCCAAATCCCAGCAGCCCCTCCCTCCTCTTGACTCTTAGTGACTTGTTTCAAGGTGACCGAAAAGGTAAGTTAAAAAGAGGATAAAAGCATCTGTTTGGCTATTTTGAGCCACTGCTAAACTGAGATTTATTTTTAAATTTAGATACTCTCAGGGAAAATGTTTGCTAACTTTCTGAATGAAAATCAGGATCTGGGAGAACACTAGTAGGGATGCACTGGTCTAAAAGGCTTGGAAGGCATAAGGAAGAAAATAAAATGAAGAAAACATTTTCTGAACTGATTGTATAATGTAATATAAACATAATAGACTTATACACACGTTCTAAAAATAATCAATGAACATATCGGCACATGTTTCAAAAAAAAAAAAAACATCAGTTAGCTGAGCATGGTGGAGCTATGCTCACCCTAAATTCCAGCCCTCAGGAGGCAGAGGCATGGGCACATGGATTTCTGTGAATTCTGGGCCAGCCTAGCCTGCATAGTGAGGTCAGGCCAGCCAGGGTTACATAGGAAAACCCTGACACACACACACACACACACACACACACACACACACACACACACACACACGCAAAACAAACAAAAACTAGAAACAGAACCAGTAATACATATGGCAACAAAAGACAGCAGTAAACAAACAAACAAACAAACCCAACATAATCTACAGTCTCATTGTAGGTCAAATTTCAACTCTTCTCCCGGGTAGAAATCCAAGCAGATGATTTGTAGAACATCACGATAAACACAGGAGAATTATTTCCATATGACTACTGAAGCAGAAATCTGCATCGGATTAAAGAGTATCTACTAAGACTGAAACAGAAACTCCAACAGACACATTGTATCAATACGTTTCACCTGTGTTAAGCTATTGACTGTGAAAACTGAATTCCTTCTACCTATGAAATGCTTGTCTTGTTGATTAACTATGAGGAGAAAATTCAGTATGTTACCTGCACTCATTAAGAGCCACACACTTCTATGTACGTGTGGGAATACCTTCTAACCATTTAGATGTTTTTCAACAATTACCTTATGATCAAAATACTTACCGTTCCTCTCTAAGTATAGAACCTAAAAAATACATGCTCAATTCATTATTTGAATGACACTGGAGTGGGTGGAGGGACAATTTTAACGTAGGTGAATTCAACAAACAATCAAGCACTGTTAACTATTTTCAGTCTTAAGAACATTCCTTAGAAGCAGAAGGAGAGAGAGCACAAGCAAGGAACTTAGGACTGGGAGGGGTGCACCCATACACTGAGACAATGGGGATCGGGAACTCACCAAGGCCAGCTGGCCTGGGTCTGAAAAAGCCTGGGTCAAAACTGGTCTCGCTGAACATAGCGGACAAGGAGGACTACTGAGACCTCAAGAACAATGGCAACGGGTTTTTGATTCTACTGGACCTAGTGGTTTTGTGGGAGCCTAGGCAGTTTCGTGGATGCTCACCTTACTAGACCTGGATGGAGGTGGGTGGTCCTTGGACTTCCCACAGGGCAGAGAACCCTGATTGCTTTTTGGGCTGACGAGGGAAGGGGGCTTGGTTGGGGGAGGGGGAGGGAAAGGGGAGGCGGCGGTGGGGAAGAGACAGAAATGTTTAATAAATAAATAAATAAATTAATAATAAAAAAAAAAAAGAACATTCCTTAGAATAAAATGTTTAGGAACGGGGAAATAAGAGTTACTTGTACATATTTCAGTTGTTCCATCCTGTGTCTCAGATGATTTAGCCAAAGATAAATGCAATGCAGTCATGATTGGTGTGTATATACATAGTGGGTATGTGGTTGCATGTGTGTGTGGTGTGTGTGCGGTTGTGATTGTAGCTTTGTGTGTACACGTGTGTAGTGGTAGCTGGTTGCATACTGTGTGGCTGTGTGTGCACATGTGGAAGTCAACGTTGGGTGTCACCTTGCTTTCCGAGACAACCTCTCACTGGTCTGGAGTGGGCCGAGTGGGAGAAAGTCAGGGTGGCTGGCCAAAGAAGCCCAGGAACCTGCTCCCCCAGCACTGGGATCACAAGCAGATACCACATGCCCAACTGTTCACACGGGTTCTGGGGACTGAAGGCAAGCCCTCATACTGGCAAGGCAAACACCATCATCCCAGTCTGGAGACTGTTGGACAGCTCTGGAATCTGGCTCTATAAAGTGCTTATGTGTGATGTTCCCCTTGATTCAATTTATTGGTAATTAAGTAACCTTAGAAAAAGGTTGCTGGGGATATATCTATTCTTGGCAAATTAAAAATGCTCAATCCTATGTAAGGTTTGACATTTAGATACTTACTATAGGATACACTACAGTGCAAAGAAAAAAGTTTTAAAAAATTATATACAAGGACACATCTGTCTTAGAAGAATTAAAAGGCCATAAATCAAAATTCTCTTTTATCCTTATGCTAAATTATTTTACAAGTATAAGTTAAACTATCATCTGATATATAATAAAAACAAGATAACTAAAAATACATTTTCTGCATATGAAAAAAATATTTATTTCCAGTACTATATTTACGAGAGCATTTTATGCTGAGTAAGCAGACTGGATAGGACTCCATTCACATCCCACTTCTCCTTGGACCTTTGCAATCAAGTCTCAGAGACCATCATTTCAGTAATGGAACAAAGCTTCAGGCAGTGCTGCGTTAAGCTGAACGCACGGGGCACAGGCCTATCGCTTCTCCAGAGTGCTAGGCTGTCCAGGGGTCTAGTCCACCTAGAGTCTTAACTGGAGGGCTGTGAATCCCTCTCTGCTAACCACAGAACACTAAATTTCAAATGCTACTCTAAGCTTCTTTAAAATGGACAAAGTGAATAATCCTGTGACCGAAATTATTTTCAAAAACAAAACAGTGCTTTTAACAATATAAAACGGGCTCCTGTGCCCAGCACAAAGCAGTAAAAGCTGTCGTTAACACAGTCGCTTTTTTTGTGATGAAATAGCAATGCATTATATTGTAAACTTACCACAAGAGCAAAGAACACCATAAAGAAAAATGATAAACTGCTTGTGTAGCCAAGAAAGCCTGTAAAATACCAATAAAATAAAAAGCAATTTATAAGGCAAGTGACCCTGACTCACAAAGAGAGCCACGCACCATGGGCATGTTTTCTACTGCAGCTTGGTCTCTGGGCCCCGGCCCGTCTGTCACAGACCATTCTGCAGCTCTGCACAGCAGGACGGGCCTGGCTTGCACAGGCAGTGCACTGCGAGGGGGGCTGCTCCTTAAGGCTCGGGTGGGGCGGACAAAACGCTACCACAAGCCAAGTCATAAGTTAGCTAGGCAGGGCTGAGGACGGAGCCACTGAAACCAGGCCAAGCTGAAAATGATGCGCAGTGGCCACTCTTCTAGACACGGTGCTGTGGCGCTGCCCCTCCCCCAAACATCCCGTGTTCCTCCACAGACTCACCTATCCTGGGGAGCAGCGAAAGAGGGAACACGACGCCGACACAGATGATGAGCAGCAGCGTCTGTCCATCGAGATACCAAGACCTATTAGGAAAGACACTCTGTGTTAGGTCCGGGACATGGGACTCATTCACATCTATTCGAACACCACGAAAAACCTACTTTTTTTGTTAAATGGTCTTAGGAAAACTTTTATTGTTTATTTACTTATTTGTTTTAAGGTGTATGTGCACTGGTGTTTTGCCTGTGTGAGGGTGTCAGACCCCTGGAACTAGATAGAGTTAGCAGTAATTGTGAGCCGCTGCGTGGGTGCTGGGAATTGAACCTGGGTGCTCTGGCTCTTAACCCCTGAGCCATCTCTCTACCTACGCCACAGAAAATCTTTTCTGGTTAAGCATGAATATGCATTTAGGAAATATACAAAAATAATGTTGATATAAGCCTACAGTCTCAGGAGTTGGGAGGCAAAGACAAGATCAATGGTTTGAGGCTGGGACATATAGTGAGAACTTGTCTCAAAATAACACCTAAACCAAAACAAATACACAAAAATGCCCAATGAGATGTCATTTTTCAATTATCAAATTAACAAAAACTTAAAAACTAGGTAACAATTCATGTTGATGAAGAGTACTGAGAAGCAATTTGGCAAAAGATACTAAGAGACCTCATGTGATTATGCCTTACAACACTTACAAAATACTATTGAAAACAAAGAAACACCAGCAATAGTTAGAGTTTTTTTTTAAAGATTGATTTATTTTTATGTACACAGTGTTCAGCCTCCATGTATGCCTTCACGCCAGAAGAGGGCACCAGATCTCATTACAGATGGCTGTGAGCCACCATGAGGTTGCTGGGAATTGAACTCAGGACCTCTGGAAGAGCAGCCAGTGCTCTTAACATCTGAGCCATCTCTCCAGCCCTAGTTACAGAGATTTTTTTTTATCAAATAATATTTATTGAGAACCTTTAAAACAATGAAAATCTAAAACATAAAATATAGTAAAGACTGAAAGCAAACAAACATCTAATACTACAATTTGGAAAAACAAATATAGTGAATGTGTGTGTAGTCTGATTGTTTTGAGGAAAAATACAGATATTATTTAAAATGGACAGGACCTTCATAGTTTCTCAGTGATAAAGAGTAATTTTTTTACTCTTCATACTTTTCTACACTTCTCCAGAGTTTCAGAAGGGGTATGAATTACCAGTTTAAAACACTAAAGTTTTCTTTAAAAAACAGCAAAATACTGAACGAGAATGGTTAGGGAGTAGTGAGATCACGAGTTTGTTAATAAAAAAGAAACGAGGACTGGGAGCCACCAGCACATGCTGGAGACATGGAGGCGGGCTTGCTGGCCGGGTTGATCAGCCGTGTAAGCAAGAACAGTAATGTGGGGCTGGAGAGATGGCTCAGCGGTTAAGAGCACTGACTGCTCTTCCAGAGGTCCTGAGTTCAATTCTGAACAACCACATGGTGGCTCACAGCCATCTGTAATGAGATCTGGTGCACTCTTTTGGTCTGTAGGCACACAAGCATACAAAATACTCTATAATAAATAAATAAATAAATAAATAAATAAATAAATAAATAAATCGTGATGTGTGTTGGGGATGTGGTGGCGGGCTTGCTGGCATGGCAGATCAGCCCTGTAAGGAAGTTTAAGGACAGTAAAAGACCCTGTCTTAAAAAGAAAAAGAGAAGAGGTGAACAGTACCCAAGAAACACTCAAGGTTGTTTTCTGACCACCACATACGTGCGCATACACACTCATATGTGTGCAAGCAGTTCATACACAGACAGGAAGAAGACTGAAAGACAAATTTCAGTACAGAGAGGGAAAAATAACACTTTGAATATATATTTTTAAAGTCAGAGGGATATACTTAGAATACAAAAAAATGGCATATTTCTATATGGTAGCAATACATAGGTACACATATGATTTTAATTTCTTAATACATCTATAGAAAATTTAAATATTAAAATTAATTTCTCAAAACCTTAATGCATGCACATGTGAAAGACAAACAATTAATATAAGGAATACAACTAGTAAATATATAGGAAGAAAGATCTAATCACAGTTGCCAATTAAATGGATCTATCCTGAGATTATTGAAATCCAATTAGTAAAATAGTCAAGGATGTGATATAACTGGCCCGCATGTATTACTATGTTATTGTCCAACTGGGACTCTCAGGATAAAGGACGGCAACAGTAACCAGCACAATGAAAGCGCAGTGGCAATTAACTAAGAAAACCAGCAAAACACACACAATTGTACCACACGAAGAAAATAAAATCCAGGATAGAAAGGGATTGGGAAACATCAAAGATCAATAGGGATTCCTTTATTCAAATCTTCAAAATCTCCCTGTGATAATCCATCCTCTCTCACTCTCAGCAGGTGGCCAGTGTCCCCCCCCCCCCCCCCCCCCCCCCCCCCCCCCCCCCCCCCCCCCCCCAGCCCTGGCCCTGTCAAGTTAAGAGCTTGCCTTTGCCTGGGTTAAAGAGCTAGCTTCTAGCAAGCCTGGCCTTTACTGTCCAGTGCCTATCTTTACACACCCTGGCTTGTGAGGACATCCTTTCTGCTGCCCCTTCATTCATGACTGCTGGGCAGTGACAACACCCTCTGTAGGAGAGCAAGACGAGGAGCAGCAGCAAGAGCACCGTGGTCACACTCCCCACCCCACCCCCCCATCCTGCTCACACCTGCCCCCGTCCTGCTCACACCTTCCCCATCCTGCTCACACTTCCCCCTGTCCTTCTCTGACTCCCATCTTTTGCAGATGCACCACCAGAAGCTAGGAGCGATGCACAACTATTTCTGCGCTGCGGGGTCTGAGGCCGTGCTCTCCAGCCACACTTGCACGGGCCCCTCAGAGGCTGTTGTGCAGGAAGTACTACAAAAGCAACGTATAGTGAACACAAACGGATACACAAAAGGCTCATCTTCTAGTCGCCCTTGAATACAAAGCCAAACAGGAACCTCAAAATAGCCCTCACCAAGAAACACCTGGCGACTAAATTCTGAAACTGGCAGCAAGCCCAGGGCTCTACGTCTGAAATGTCTTTTCTTCTGGGACCTGGTATCAGACCCAGACAGTTGCAGTGCCAATAGAAAAATGGCCCCGAGGGAACAGCCGAGCAGATTCCATCTGTTAGCACTGCTGTTCCTCTGGATAACAACACTGCATTGTATTCTGAATGTCTGCTAAGAGGGTACGGATCGCAATCAATGTTCTGAACATAAAACAAAGCAAAAATGGCCACAAACTAACCTGTCTCCTTTTTTGTTTGTTTGCTTGTTTGTTTTTAAGACAGGATTTCTCTATGTAGCCCTGGCTGTCCTGGAACTTGTTCTGTAGACCAGGCTGGCCTCAGACTTGGAGATCCACCTACATCTGCCTCGCAAGTGCTGGGATTAAAGACATGTGCCACCACCACCTGGCCCAAACTGACTCTTTAACTAGGAAGGTGGAGTTATATAAAAGGGTAGGCCACAGGACCGCAACCTTCCCCTTGCACAGGACTAAAGGAACACTAAAATCCTGAGGGAGGGCTGCTATGTGTGCCTGAAGATGAAACTGATGTCCATCTGTAAGGGCAGCATGACTGACTCAGGCCTGATTGTAGGAAGGCATGAGACTTGCAGAGTTAGGGAATGCTTGGGCTGCGGGAGCTCAGAGATCACCCACTTCAGCATCTCCATTTCCTGTGTCTGCAAAAGCCATAAAGGACCATGGGCTCGAGACGGTAGCCATGCAAACACTCCCGGCCTCAGCTACACTCTCCTCAGCTACCACTCTCGAGTTCACAGCATTTTTCAGATGTCTCCGATCTATTTCAAGGCTGCACTTCATTCTCTCCTTAGGACTGAACTTAAAAAGTTACTATGAGCGGGACGGTGGTGGCGCACGCCTTTAATCCCAGCACTCGGAGGCAGAGGCAGGCGGATCTCTGTGAGTTCGAGGCCAGCCTGATCTACAAGAGCTAGTTCTAGGACAGGCCCCAAAGCTACAGAGAAACCCTGTCTCGAAAAAAAAAAAAAAAAAAAAAAAAAAAAAAAAAAAAAAAAAAAAAAAAAAAAAGAATCTTAATATGAAAATGATTTTATTTTAAAAAAGAGATTCTCTAGGCCTGGAGACTGGTTATAAATAGTTTCTTGTGCTTATTGACTGATGGCAATAAAACCAATCACTAAGATAGCAGTTTTGTGATCATTCTTTATCAATAAAGGCCATGTAGTTACACACAGTGGAGTTGAGTGAATTTCACACGCACGTCCCAGACAATTGCACTGTGTTTGGTAATGGAGACAGTCCAAAGCAGATGCAATTAAACCTCAGCCCAGAGAATACAAATAAGTAGTCTTTAAAAGTATGCAGTAAATACATTTATTTTATAAGCCAAGATTTTAGGAAAATTTACTGCACTTAAATTTTTTTTCTAAGAGGGGAAAAAGAATTATCTAACCAAACTCCTGTTTTCCTACTGTGACCTAAATATACATTCTCTTTAAGCCAAAAGAATTAGAGTAAAAAGTTTTATACTTCCTAGAAAACTTGTTTGATCTGTGGATTTAATCCTATATGATAAAAATGCTCCAACTATGAAACACAGAGAATAAATCCTTAGCTGGATTGCAAATGCTTGGCACGCAGATGTTTTTTCCATTTTTAAATGAAAACCAGATTTATTTATAAGTTGCTTTAATTTCATTCTCGAATAGAATGGAACAAGAGTATCGTATGTTCTCAATTAGGATCTTGCTCACATCCCATATCAATTATGTAACTCAAATGCAAGACAACTTAATTGTGTCAATCATAGTCCCCTGACAAGACCATTAAATGTTAACAGAGAGCTCCCAACTTTTAACAGCTATAGATTTAAAAAATATATATATATAAGTTATTCTAGGAAAAATATAGAGGGATCATAGGAGTTTGGTATAAGCACCACTGATCTAGATCTCTAACAGTAACTTTGAAATTAGAATACAGTGAGCACAAAGTGATTCGACAGCATCTTCATAAAGGGCTATAGTTCATATAGATATCTATATATCTATCCACAGATAACCCAGAAAACAAACACACCTGAAAGATTAACTGAAACTTATGGAAAACCAAACCCTAAAATAAAACATCAACGCCACATGATCTCAGTGAGAAAAAACCGCCACGCAACCCCATCTAGAAACAAACTGTCCAAAAGCAGTGCTCACTGCCGCAACATTCGCTGCTGACTTTCCAAGGTTAGGCTTCAAAGACAATTAGCATAGTCTCTTCATAAATGAGTATGCTACATGTAAAACAATGAGTTATCAAAAATGTGTGATTTTAACACACAGTGGGTGAAAATTGGTGACAGCATTCTTGTCAAAAGCTCATTTGTGATAGAAATAGAACACTTATATAAAAGTTTTACTAATACAACTGAAATAGGATTTAATTTTAGTTGTTTAAAATGTATGCTAAAACAGCAGACATGGCATTCGATTTAAAGAGAACAACGCTTCAGCAGACAAAACACCGCAGTTTTAATAGCAGCTCTGCTACCCAGCACCCTGACTATGTCTGAAGTTACCAAAGGCAATGTTAATAGATGTCACCAAAATCAGGACCAAACAAAAGATAAACAGACAAAACAAAGACAAATGCAGGTGACATAGGACAACCATTAGATTATCAGCGTTCATCTGTGTTTGACTCTGAGCTTCCTGGCAATCCGCATGAAAAAAGGAAAGTCTTCTACCTTTAACATACTCATTGTCCTGTATTGTCCCTGTTCCCCACGTTTACACTGTGCTATGTGCACATAAGCACGTACACTTGTGCCACCTTATTTGATCATTTGAACTCTGTTAAGGAAGCAAATAATCAAAGGTAAGGTCATTGGTGTCACCTTTTTTTCTTTTTTCTTTCTTTTATTTTTTTTTTTGGAGACAGAGTTTCTCTGTGTAACATCTCTGGCTGTCCTGGAACATGCTATGTAGACCAGGTTGATCTCGAGCCACAGAGATATGCCTGCCTCTGCCTCCCCAGTGCTGGGAATACAGGTGTGTACCACACCACCCAGTGCCCCCTTTTATTAATGATCTATTTATTATTTTATGCACATTGCTGGTTTGCCTGCATGCATGTTTCTGTATGTGAGGGTGGCAGATCTCCTGGAATGGGAGTGATAAACAGTTGGGAGCTGCCACATGGGTGCTCACCCAGGTCCTCCGGTGAGAGGTCGGTGCTCTTAACCACTGAACCAACTCTCCAGCCCTTTCAGAATGCCTGTCTGTTTTTCTCTTTTTCTGGCATTAAGAATTGAACCCAGGGCCTTGGGCATGCTAGGCAAGCACTCTGTCTGGGAGCCACAAGTTCTGCTCTCATTGGTACCCTCACAGCACCAGGTAAAAAAACCTACAGCTCATGACAAGCTAGATAGTCAGGAATTAGAGACTCAAGGCTAACTAGCATGAAATGAACGGGGACATATGTTTCCTTTCATCACGCTGCCTTAAGTTTCTAGCTCCATATGCAAATTTCTCACTTAGAATTCAAGTAACAAAAGTGGTTTCTAATATTTTTATAGCAAATGCAAACAAGTGTATTTCACACAGCTACTTGCTAGAGTAGCTAGCTGTTACATAGGGCATTATCAAAATGCAACCAGACAAAGCTGACAGAAGTCGAGGTAGCTGTGAGCATGCGCTGGGCCCCTAATGAACTCTGACGTGAACGCGAAGGGACAGCTTATGAGGATGAAGATCGTGAAGGACTTTATAACCCTCATGCTAATCACAACTTGACAGTTCGTACTGAGATCAAAAGTAACCACACTTTCCTTACACACGCACATCTGCACCTGTCTGCTTCTGCAGGAGCAGCCACTTCCCTAAACTGAAAACTAAATTCTGAAGTTTTCCTCTGCACGCCAGATAAGTCTGATTACTGGGGAGAGCCAACCAAACGCTCCAGCCTAGAGACAGGGCAGTCCTCAGTTGTGGTTTGAGAACTGGGTAGAGCAACTGGACAATTAACAAGTTTAATCCAAGTTTATTTTTATTTTCAAGTTTATTTTTCTGGAAAAAAAAAGGGAAGTCTTTCTCCTTGCTCTACATATCAAAAAGAAAAACATAATTAACTTGGGACCCTTCCCCATAAGAAGCGCTAAGTCAATATATTCTGTAGGCGCCTGTGTTTTTAAAGGAGAAAGGAAGTATGCTGTGGTTCAATATTATTCAGTTTATTAAGAAAGGCTAAGCAAAGCAAGCGCTCCCATAGTTCTTTATGCAGTCTACCATGAGTCTCACACAGTGGCTGGCCATCATATCCTTTGTCATGACAACCTGCTAGGAAGGGACGGCAAGGACGACTCACTGTCCCTTCAGCTGTCTCGAGCCTTCCACTATCCTCCAGCCTTTAACTCCTTAGGTGCCTCTTCACTTTTCTCCAAGGGCTAATTGGGACTTGACTTGGCCTTTCCCAAGGAGCACAAGGGCCTGGAGCTTCGGTCGTTGGCAGCCCAGGGCTCTGACACAGCGGACTGTCAGTGGACAGGTACTCAGTGTTTCCTCTATTACCGTTCCTCCCCACAGAACTGCTAAGTGTCCTGAGGACGGGCACCGCATTGCCACTACGGTTTCACAGAACATAACGAATGAATGAACAGATGAAGGCATACAATGGAACTTCTTACCCACTGTGGTCTCCAGACAAGAATTCTGAAATAGCAGCAGGAAGCTCTGTTTTAATAATTAAGAGATAAGATGACATAGCTACAAAAGAACAAAGAGAATTGCTATTAGAATTTTAACCATTCAAAGAGTGATCTATTCAGAAACACAGAAGTCCATAGGATTTCGGGCACCATACAGAAGATAGCCCACAATGAACTAAGCCAAACACATACATAGCAGAAACGAAGGCAAACGACTCTGTAGAGAAGAACTGGTAAGTTTATCACATGACCTCTGTTTATACTGCAAATCCGAAGATAAGAGGAAAAGGGATTTTTTAATAGGCTATTTAAAATAAGATTGTTTCAAGTTCTGAAGGATTCTCTTTCACACCCTCTTATCTGCTCAGTGCACAGGATTTAGTGATAAGCTTTAAGGGTCAGGAGATAGTTGCGCACACCTTTAATCCCAGCACTCAGCCGGCAGAGGCAGGCAGCTAGCTATCTGTGAGGTCACAGCCAACCTGGTCTACAGAGTGAGTTCTGGGACAGCCAGGGCTACACAGAGAGACGCTGTCTTGAAAAATCAAAACCAACCAACCAAACAAACAAAAAGACCATGTTTATTTAATAAGTACAATTAATAACTGATCACTTGCTCTTTTTTAATTTAACTAGGAAGAAATGTCTTTTGCAGAAACCCAATTCCCTCTTTCTCTTCCTCTCTCTGCTACAGATCATAATACTTAAACAGTAGATAATAACTTAATTAAGGCTCTCTTCTGATCCTCTGCATCACGCAGCCTGTTAAGGATATGGAGCTTGTAATCCTCACTCCATCTGTGTGAATCTGAAACCAAAGCCAACCAGGTGGGGTGGCACACGCCTTTAATCCCAGCACTCGGGAGGCAGAGGCAGGTGGATCTTTGTGAGTTCGAGGCCAGCCTGGTCTACAAATTGAGTTCCAGGACAAAAAGAGCTACACAGAGAAACCACGTTTATGAAAAGACAAAATAACAATAACAAAACAGAAACCAAAGCCAGCACTGCCACCCAGATTTTATCTGATAGCATATGAGAAATAACTAGCTTTTATATCACTTAATAATGACACTATTCCTCATGTAGTTATTAAAACACATTCTGGGGCTGGAGAGATGCTCAGTGCTTGGCTCCTAGGACTGCTGGGCAGCTCACAACTGCCTGTACCTCCAACTCCAGGGGATCTGGTACCCTTTTCTGTCCTCCACAGGTAACTGTGCACACTCACACACAAATCACTCTGCAAGCCTTCCATCGTAAATATGGTTGTAGAATATAGAACTCATTTAGGCAAATACAGAAGGGGAAGCTTAAATACTCAGCTCTATGGAAACCCAGTTGATCTGGAGTCAGACCTTCAGTATAACAGTCTTTTCCCTAGAGATGAATTGAACACACACACACACTCATTCTTTTTAAAAGAGTCAATGAAAAAAAATGCCCTTGAAGAATGAAGTGTGTATTCTATGTGCACACTGCTTTTATTACTCATTTATATTTCAGGAAACATTCCACTTTCTCCTTGGACTTATAAAAACTAAGAACACCACTGAACGCCAAGCCTGAACAATGGAAGTCTGGAGGAAGTTGGATGAAAAGGTGCATTTAAGAACAGTTTGCATTTCTCAGTCCAGCTGTTGGAAAGCAGCTACTTCTGCAGTTACAACGCTGTGATGGTTTAACTCTGGAGAAAAATGAGACAGACATGCTAGTTTGCAAGAGGAGAGATTAAATACACTCAATTGTTTGTTTGTTTTTGTTTGTTTGTTTGGGTAAAATAACAGGTACCTATGGTAAAGTTAACTTTAGAACAGGTAAGTAATACTCACTTTTCTGCAATGAAAACACGACCCACATCCTGTAATTTAAGACTATTTCTTTTTCTCTGGAAGAAACACGACTGCTTACCAAGGGCTACTGAGACATGCCTGCCAGCCCTTAGCAGTGGCTACTATAAGCAACTGGATGTGTAATGTCTTCTCCCTTGCTCTGTTCTCTCAGAAGGAAAAACACCAGCAGCTGGGCACCGGAGGAGGAAGGGAGGTCATCGCTAACCTCTTCCACTCCAAGATTTGGATTGTCACAGCATTTTGTTTTCCAAAGAACTGTACGTGCATGATATAATGAAGAAGAAGAAATAGAATCGAGTTCTCTGAAACTGGCTTAGACACTACCTAAATATATCGAGAGAAGGAGGGCGTAAACAGACAAACGTACACTCAAACAAGGAAGGCAGGCTTCTGACTCCGTACTTTCACCATCTGCTCATCGGCCCCTCTCGCTGGGAATAAGCCGGCATGTGTAGATCTCTAAGGTTTCAGACAGGCGCCTCTTCCAGCAATTTTCTATTTTTTTGATCTTTAATTGTAAAACAGCCACAATGAATGTGAGATTATATTTCTTTCTCATATACAATCTGTCATTCTTTCCAGAATTTCTATTAGCCTCTGGCTAATCACTTGATCACTTTGTGTCGCAGCCTTCACTCTCTGGTTTTCAAATGGGAGTCCTGTTTCACTAGATTCCAGTCTGAAGAGCCATGTGTACTTAAAGAAATATGAACTCACCAAACATATGTTTCTCTGTTTTAAGAAAAGGCCTCTCAGTATACAAGAGTGTAATAAAACATGTGAAACACTGCTTCTTCCTTGGAGAACGCTGGCGTGTTTTAAGAGCTACAAAACCACAGAGCCTACCATGGGGAAAACCCCACTGGTTGAGCAAGTAAAACAAAGAAATCTCACTGCTAAAATTACTTTTTCCTAACCACAAATAAAATTTCATGTAAGTACTACCACCTTAACATACAGTACATAACACTGAGAACAAAAGACTACTAGATAGACACCAAGTTAGGAAATACATCTTAATTACAGCCACATCAAAAGATCAAGTCAATAAAGTAAGCTGAGAAAGGTTTTAAGAAAGAATAATCTCAGCGGGAATGCTCATATATCCACTGTTTTTAGCCAAAAGGTCACTAGGTCGAATAGCTGGTTGCCACACCTCCTGTCCCATGTTTTCTATTAATAGCAAAGGAAATGCTCAAGGCTTGACTTAGAGACAGGTCATAAGCAAGAATTTGTAAATGATTTTTGCTGGCATCTATCCATGGTATAGACTCCAAATACAAGGCACACCATGTTTCTTCCAAATTAATGGCTATACCAGCATCATCCATAAGAGCCACGGTTACAATAGAACAGTTCGGGCCTCCATAACACCACTGACAAGATCTGTGCTACAAGATACACCTTGATGACGGTTATCAGCCATTCCAAATCATTTAGTCTCCCCACATTAGCTGAATAGGTATTCTTTCCCCTTCATTTTAAACGAAACTACCCTGGGAAGAAAATAAAAAATCCTGTCACCTTAGTCAAGACACAGGAATAGAAAGTACCCTTTAAAAACCACGTGGAAAAGCAACAGGAAATTTGGCAAGCCCTGAAACAGGGAAATCTGATCAGGCACCAACAGGGAGTAAGGTATCACTACTGCCCAACAGCATGGGAACGTGGGTACCACTTCCAGACAGCATGGAAGACATGAGTACTAACTACTAACAGTCATGGGAGACGTGAGTTGGGGCAGAGGCGGAGAGGAGAAAGGCTAGAAGTGAGAACAGCTGCTCATCTGGGCGTGGCATGCTATGCCTGCTACATGCTTGGCTATATTCTAGGTGATAGCAAGTTTTTTGGGCATCTAACTTCCTTATCAACCAGACACAATTTCACCCACAGAAATGGGAGCCCTGTGTACTTATTTGCGATGTGGGTGCTGGTGGGAACGGTGAGCCTGACTTGAGGAGCTCACACTATTAAATGTCAGTCTGCTCCGGGCCGGTGGAGAAGAATCAGTCAAAGCCAAGAAAAATAAGAAAAGTCTATCAAAGGGGCCTCTCGAGAATGAAGTCTTCTATCTATTTGTTATCGGCATTTAAGCAACAGACTGCTTTTGGCTGCTGAGCTTAACAATCGGGCTCAAAGAAAAGGAGAATCTCTGCAATGGAGATGGAAGTCTCCGACCATTTCAACCAGAGACACACTGTATTGTTGATGGAGTCCATCTGGGGCTGTAGCCCTTTCGCTGAAGTAACTGGCTCAGAATTCACGTAGCTTCATGCCAGGATGTCATTGCATCTCCCGCCATGATTTAGTTGCATGTCAGTGGAGGTATAGCTCCAAAGAGGAATCTCCTATTCAAATATGAGAGATTCAACACGTCACTGAAACCTAAAAAAAGAACAAAACTCAACCCTCCTCCTCCATATCTCTAGGCTTTAGGACCCAATGTTCCCAGTAATGGTCTCTAGTCAACCATGTCACTTTGAGAAAGAAAAACTCAACCAGAGTTTGGGCCTAAACAATCATTAGTCTAAAAGACAATTATCCATGTTGTTAAACATTTAGGAGAACATGCATGAAGATGGGATGGCGTTCCACTGCTTTAAAAATAGAACTGGGTTTTCAGCGCTTGGGGGAAGCCCAGCAGCTTCTCAGAGGATTAGTCAGTGGCCCAAACAAACAGAGGCGCTATGGTTTGCCTTTCCACCGAAGAGATTCAGGTTTATTTCAAACTTGTTTTTAGTCACGGATAATAACTAGTTTATTCAAGATGTCTCGTTAACCTGGGGTTTCCACCAAATGTCTAAATGTCACGGAAATTCTATCCCCACTCAAATAGCATACAATCTCTCTTTTTTAAAAAGAATCTTTTTTTTTTTTCAAAATGTCTGTAAAACAATGTAATTTCCCTAAAGTGCAAAACTGGGGGGGGGGGGACACAAACCATGATGGAATATGTTCCTTCCTTTGCTCTCCTAAAAAAAACCTTTATTTTATTTTATTTTATTTTATTTGGGTTTTTGAGACAAGATTTCTCTGTAGCTTTGGGGCCTGTTCTGGAACTAGCTCTTGTAGACTAGGCTGGCCTCGAACTCACTGAGATCCGCCAAGAGCCTTTATTTTATAGTCTGTTAAGACCCTGAACCTAAAGAAGGACCTGTTTGGATAGCCTAGCGAGACTTTGTCTTCAATCAGGGGTGGAGGTGAGGGT